AAAAATAAGTTTCATCAATGGGTCACCGGCGTGGTTATTTAGAAACACGGTTCACTTTTTATATACGAAAGGGAAAATTATCATTGCATATGTCAGACTTCACGTCTGCAGACGAGCCCAGACGGTTTTTTGGTGCTGTCAATCAATGCTCTGTTTGCTCAGTGAAAGGTACGATTACTCGTATCAGATTTATTTTGGGCAGGCAGTAAATTTGTATGGATTGTTTTTTTTTATTATAATAAGTGAAGTGTTTGCATCACGCCATAATTTTGTATAGGTTAGTCATGATGATGACTTTCTATCTAGTTTTTTTTTTCTTATTTCTCAGACATGCAGGTTTCCTCGCGATATTTTCCTTCACCGCCGAGCATGTGGTAAATCAACACTTAAAATTTCAATTAACAATTTCATTGGTGCCGGCGGGGATCGAACCCGGGTGGCTCGTGCGCTGTGCTGCTACCACGGCTACCACACACTATAGTTCTCACAGAATACAACGTGAAATAGTAGCTTAGTGCGGCTGTATTCCTTCCTTCTTACTAGAAACTGTCACCCCTGAGTATTAAGATGGTATGTCTCATTCCACCTTAGTCCTCAGGGGCGATAACGCATCTACATTTTTATGAAAGATGAAATAAAAGAACTAACAAGAATAAAAGTTATTTTTATATGTTCAGTTGTATGGAGTATAGGTATAGCCCACAATCGTCACAGCCGGATTGGCGATCTCAATACTAGACGCTTCACAACCTTGACATTACTTCCTAATCCGCCCTAGTTATTTTACGGGATGTTTTAATTAACAGCGACTTATCTGATGATCTAAGACATAACATTTCTAGTATTACTCGTCATCATCCATATGACGTAATAGGGCGATGTTACTCTCTTTACAATATCAAAACTAAAAAATTTTAAACGTTTATTTTAAACAAATTGCTATATTATTATAATCGTAAGGTTCGAAAAATCATACTTCATTTCCGTCTTTCAACTTTCGCCTACTAGAAATCAATGCATTTACATTGAGTGTAACTGAACAGTTCATCGAACAATGAAGGTAAAATACTTAAAGTGATACGCTAACAAAAAAGCTGTGTATAAAAATTGACGCTCAGCCAAAATGCATACTAGCGGTTATAGAGTGTAAAACTAAAAATAATACTATATTATATCAGGAACACATTTATTTATATTCTGAATCTACCTCTAATTTACTGCTTAGGTAATGCGAAAAGTTGATCTTGAATTTTAGAGCACACAAACCCTCCGAGAATTTGTCGATTATGAGTGCGACGCGGAGATTCCCAACAAACTTCTAATAGAAATTGACAAAAAGTATAAAACATGAAATATGACCATTTCATGTTTTTATTAAAATATATACCAATTAATTTTAAAATATCGAAAACAAAATTCTTTGACCATATTCGGAACGGAGGTACATATATTTAAACCTACACATTATTAATTGTAAAATGCCATTAATTTACGTTTTCCTTAGTTAATTTATTGATAACAAAAACTGCTGAACTGAGATGTTTTGGTAAAAAAATCATACAGTTCTTATTACAATAGTGCTTCAAATGAAACCAGTCCGACGTCAATGTTTTTGTCAATCACTAAACTGTTTGCTCTCAATAAACCCTTAACGAAAATTAACTAAGAATGTATGCATACAAACAGATATCCTCCTCAAAATCACAGAATCTGACTCAAGAGGCCTTGAAATGCTTGGATATAAAAATTTGGAATTTATCGTACAATAACTTCATACGGGGAACATACAGTTATTGATTTGGATACAACTGAGGACACGGCTGTGTGTCAACCATTGAGCTATTATGTACTACGTACTAGAGGCGACACTGCATTCAGCTACTCTGTTCCACTCAACTGCGGTGCATACACCGCACTTTAATCAGTCACTCGCTAGGCGCTTGTAGAGTTGTCACGTGTTGTGTTGATTTAAAAAAAATCTCTTGATAAAATATGCAGTCGTGTGTACTTAGATATTGCACAAATAATTCAAGAAATGTCAGTAAAAATCAAGGAATTACTTTCCATCGGTTAATAAGATACTTAATCAATAAAAAAGTATTATAGATTAATAATTAAACAAATTATTCCTAAGACGCCATCTCGTGTCATGGAATATGGATTATGAAATTAATATGTTCAGATGCGACATTTCTGTTGGTACTTAAGTATATTACGAATATATTATTATACACATTTTTTTTGTAGAGAAACATATATAAATTATTGTAATAAGGCTAAATTTTTCATGTTTAAATCTGCTTGTTATTGTTTTATTTTATTTTTATGTTTTCACTTCAAAGTCATAGTGGAATAAATTCGTCCATTTTTACCTCTCGCGTGCCCAGCATTTATGAACGATTCTTATTCTAATTTAAATAAATATATTTGTAATTTAAATATTATGTTAATAAGTTTTGTTAAACATACATTTAGTATGTTTTTTTTATATTTGACATAGATACCTTTTAAAATATTCAGATAAAAATATTATTAAAATGTAATTGTGATATAATATTATGTTATAATAAGCAAATATAATATACAAAATAAATGACTAACTTTAAATATTGTGTTCGATATAATTTACCTATTTAAAATATAATCTACTATTACCTACGGATCACTATACCTATGTTTATTCTATGATAAAGAAACCAACCGCGCGAACACAGAGTAGCGCACATTTTTTGTTTGAGATAGCTGTTCTAGTACGTAAGTACATATTACTTCAATGGTGTCAACCAAGTTTGGAAAAGAAAAGAGCTACGCATCGGCAGTGTATATTTAGAATCTTAAATTTCCTATCAAGAATCTTAGAAATCTTATTATAGATCTGGAGTTATCTGAATTGCCAATTTTATAACTCGCTAACAGAGACTCACTGACTCATTAAAAATATTTTTTTCAAGGAGTGACACTTTAAGCCATTTCTAGATGACTTAGAAATTTGAAATTTGATATCAAGGTTGATCATTAAACGTATTCAAAGAAAAATCTGAAAAATATAAATTATCGATATTCGTGATCAAAAAAGTGTCCACAGAGTCATTAGAGGAAAGACGTTTTTAGAAGGCAACTAATTTTAGTTTAATAAAACCATATGCTAGAATTTAGGTTAATAAAACTTAAATTTAAAATCAATGGCAGAGCGTTATACATTCAAACAGCTATGCTATAAGGAACAGCTGTGGAACTCGTCGGTCGTTCGTACCGAATTTGGCCGTTTTCACATTTATGTTTTTGTTAGATCACCATTACTGAGGGAACTTCGTTCCAATACGAAAAGATGTAATAGCTTATTATTATAATATTCTATGCATGTTTTCTTAACAATATGATTGAAAGGCACTTTCTACGCCACCTAGAAAGCACTAATCCCAAAAACAATTAATCACACTTCTAATGATCGAAGGTGAAATCGCGTCTACTCTGGGATAGGAAAGTTGTGACGGTCGTGAAGCTATATTATAAGTCAATGATTATATTTTCACAATTAACTTAACAATTATTTAGAACATTTGGACATTAGTAAATGCTTTAAGTTGTTTTTTTCGTGTTTAAATGCCAATTTGGACAAAAACATCATGTTTTAGATACGATTTTGACTCTCGAGAATTAATACTTTTTAAAGTAGTATTATAGGCTCGAAATGTATGCGCATACATAAAATACTTCATTAAATTTGTTGCAACCAATAACATAGTTTAGGTCAGGAATGGCAAACCAATGGCTTCGATGGCACTCGACACAATATTTTGGACACGCCGCCGATCACAAAGTTCACTATGAAGCATTATATTACGAAAGAACGCCAGTGATCCTATTAAGCGCACTCGCTTGTTATTGTAGTTACATCGTGGACTACTATTACTAATAACGCTTAGTTCTTTTCATCATCATCATCATCATCATTACAGCCCCTCACAAGTCCACGCCTCCCCCAAGGAATGCATAGTTCGTTTACGCATAGCAAGCAAGTAATAGTCAATTTCGTTGATACAACTGTACCTATTTAAAGGTGTTTTGTATAATTATGATTTTACAACCTAGATTTAAGTTATTTGTCATGTAATCTGCAACAACAGGTGTCACACCAATGTTACTTTAATTTAAATTACGCGTATAACTGAAAAATTTATTATTATACATTGCAAAATGTATTTCGCAATGTATAATAATAATAGTATGATATATGCTGGAATAGCCTCACGTCGTAGTCGCTCGAGTTCGGCGTCACCAAATATGTTGGAGCGCAGGATGTACCTAACTCGGTCTGCCAGGTTTTGCTCAGTGACGGATAGAGATGGCTCCAGCTCTGCAAAAAAAGCGATGCATCCGAGCCCGATACGCCAAACATCCAGTTTCTTCCCCTTTTGCCCTAAAATACGCCCGCAGTGCGTTTTCATTCATTGATTTAGACCAACGCATGCGACGTGCTCCACCAGCGGCGGGTGCCGCTTGCTGAGTCCGAGAAGACCCAGCCGACACCAAGCCTTCTGGTGGGGATGATGGATGCGGGGGGCTGCTAGGTGGTCTTGCAACACCCCGCGCTCGGCTGGCGGCCCGCATGCTGTCGCGTCCAGCGCCAGCTCCAGACGCGCCCTGGCGACCTCCAGGCAGCGGCCCTTTGCGCACTATCTTTTTCTCCATCATCCATAATATGGGCGTCCATTAACGGGAGACGCCCAGGCCCGGCACCGTATCGTGGACGGCCATAAGCACAAACGGGCCTTTGCACCCTGAATTCTGCCGAGGCACGGCGCTCACACCTCTCGCAAGGCGCTGACTGACTGCGTTGACGTAGCAGTTTTGTCACTTAACTGTTACGTCAGGACAGGATATAAGGGAATGCGGCGCCACTAGATGGGCAACAAACTGCATATGTGGATGCTGCCGTCAACATTCCATTTGTGGCTAATTCAGACGATTATGGAATAGTCTCCCACGAACTAGAGAAAATGAGGAGCATATTGGAAGAGTCGATGCTGGAAACGCGCAGCATGCCTCTCGAAAATCGACCGCGACTTCCCCGCATACCCCTTAGCAAGCGAAATCGGGCTGTCGTGCGGGCTCTTAACCCAATGCTGGTGACCTATTTGGAAGCCAGCCGGGACCTTTGCGAGACGGATTCAATTCTTTTTGGCGCCGCACTGGCAGTGTGCCGTATTATTGGCGCCAAACTTCCCGTGGCTGGACGTGCTACTCAAAAAAGTAGCGCCATCCCAGCCTGGAGAAAAAGAATTGAGGACCGTATCGCAAAGGCAAGGGCCCTTATCGGCAGACTGACAAGCTTCAGGTCGGGTAATAATAGACCGAGGATTATGCGCACCGTTAGGATGGCGTTTGCTGGGACAAATATCAGTTTGTTCCAGCCGGATATCACGCAAAAACTAACGGAGCGCATAGATGACCTGACGCAAAAAATCGCTGCTTGGGGGAAGCGGATTCGACGATTTAGCGAGAGGTCAAGGCGGTTCAACCAGAATCGTCTCTTCCAGAGTGATCAGAAGAGGCTCTATAAATCATTGGAGCGACCAGAGGTATGTGGAGCGGGCCCAGGACCGGATCAGGCTGACACTGTCGCATTTTGGCGTGGCCTGTGGTCAGAGCCCGTAAACCACAGCGAGGGCCCTTGGATGGAAGTTGTGGCGAGCCAGAGTGCAAGTGTTACGCCTATGGACCCCGTCACCATAACGCCTGAAGACGTGGCTGAGGCGGTCCGTAGGGCCCCGAACTGGAAAAGTCCGGGGCTCGACGGGCTGCATCATTACTGGCTGAAGGGGTTCGTAGTGTGTCACGCTGTGCTCGCCCGACAGTTTCAAGAGGCTCTCGATCAGAAGTCGCTCCCGAGCCTCTTCACTACTGGGATCACTCATTTGTTTCCAAAGATCAGGATACCACAGACCCGAGCAAATACCGCCCCATCACGTGTCTACCCACCATATATAAGACACTGACATCCATTTTGAGCGCGAGAATCACTCGTCACCTGGAGCTAAATCAGGTGATGTCACGCGCTCAAAATGGATGCCGGGGCGGTGGTCGTGGAACCAAGGAACCACTCCTCATTGACGCGGTCATTGGCAAAGTGGTGAAACGCAACCGTCGGAATTTCTCCGCCGCCTGGATAGACTACAGAAAGGCATTCGACACGGTGCCCCATACATGGCTAAAGAGAGTCCTCCAGCTGTACAAAATTGACTGTACAGTTGGAGACTTCCTCGAGCAGTGTATGGGGCAATGGAGTACGATCCTTTGCTATCTGGGCGAGCGGATGATGGCTGCGGAGAACCACATAAGGATAAGAAGGGGTATCTTCCAGGGCGATTGTCTGAGTCCAATCTGGTTTTGCCTCTCCCTGAACCCTCTCAGTACTTTACTGGAGGGCTCCGGGAGGGGATTTCAGCTTCGGAAAGGAGGTACAAAAGTGACCCACCTTTTCTATATGGATGACCTCAAGTTATTCGCCTCCAGTCGCTCCCATCTTATGGAATTGCTAAACATCACTTGTGAATTTAGCAATTCTATTGGAAGGGAGCTGGGAACGGATAAGTGTGCGGTCCTCCATGTTGAAAGGGGGAGGGTTACTAACTCTGAGGGCATAGACTTATCTATGCCCGTCAACTTAAGGACCCTTTCCGAGGCTGAAACATACCGATACCTGGGTATGTCACAGAACATCGGTATCGATGAGGCTGGTATGAAACAGTCAGTTTGCGACGTGTTTTATGCACGCTTGACCAAAGTGCTTAACAGCCTTTTGTCCGGTGTGAATAAGACACACGCATATAACGGCTGGGTCATGCCTGTCCTCATGTATACCTTTGGCATACTCAGGTGGACTCAGACTGAACTTAACGCCCTGGATAGAAAAGTCCGCACTACCATGAAGTCCCACAGGATGCATCATCCGAGATCGTCGGTAATGAGGCTGTACTTGCCGCGAAAGCATGGTGGGCGTGGCTTCTTGAGTGCAGCCTCCGTAATTACTTCCTGGCGAGATCGGATGATCTATAAGGACGTCATTTCTAGTGATAAAGGACTTACCCCTCTATCCTTAGCCAACGAGCAATGGCAGGACCCGGCAGTGCAGACAATTTCCGACCGGGAGAACGTATGGAAGGAGAAGGAGCTCCACGGGAGGTTCTACAAGGCTCTACATGAGCCTTTCGTAGACACAGTAGCCTCCCTCCACTGGCTACGCTTTGGTGATCTCTTCGGGGAAACCGAGGGTTTTGTCTGTGCAATACAGGATCAGGTTATTAAGACCAACAACTATCGGAGATACATCCTAAAGGATGGCACCGTGGACATCTGTCGCGCTTGTCGCCATCCCGGTGAGTCACTTAGGCATGTCATCTCCGGTTGTTCGGCGCTTTCTAACTCTGAGTACTTGCACAGGCACAACCTAGTAGCCAGAATTCTTCACCAGGAGCTCGCTCTGAAATACGGTCTCGTGGATCGGAAATTGCCGTATTACAAGTACTTGCCGGAAGCCGTGCTCGAAAATGATCGCGACAGGCTCTATTGGGACCGCGCCATCATCACAGACAGGACTATTCTTGCGAATAAGCCTGATATTGTGCTGATGGACCGGGCACAGTCAAGGATATTTTTGGTCGACATTACCATTCCGTATGACGAGAACCTCGCGAAAGCCGAAACAGACAAGCAAACAAAATATCTGGACCTGGCTCACGAGGTGACTGACATGTGGGGTGGTCTGCCGACCGAAATTATTCCTGTAGTCGTCTCTGCAAACGGGCTAATCCCAGTCAGCCTCTCGGGTCATCTGAGGCGACTGGGACTACGTGGCGGACCGCTCCGGGCTCAAATGCAGAAGGCGGTGCTCCTCGATATCGCCCGCATCATCCGCCGGTTTCTTTCCCTTTCCCCCTAACCCTCGGCCGTTTGGTCTCCTCTGCCGAGGGTCTCCATCTGGTTGGGCTTTTATTTATTTATGTATTTTTATATTTATTTTATGTTATTGATATTTATGTATATTTATCTTTTCATTTTCATTTATAATTATATATTTATAGAACCCAATCAGATGAGAAAACTATATAGATACCCCACAATAGTATGATAGCAAATGTCTCAACTCAAAACAATTTATTTATTTATATATATGCAATATATAATAGTTGCAAAATGTATTTTGCAATGTATAATAATAAATGTATGATAGTAAATGCCTCAACTCAAAACTCTTTATTTATTTTTTGTAGTAAGAGTTTTGAGTTGATAGTATTTAATATTATCCTTAGAATATTATTATTTTAAGGAATTATTATTTTTTCCGGCACGTCTATGATCTTATTCAACATTTCTTCAGAAAAATGGCATATTGATACATAAGGGTTCGCCACACCTGATTTAGGTCATTAGAAATGCACGTAATGTCTCTGTTTATATTATAAAGATTTTAAACATAAATGAAAGTGTAATGCATAATAAATAAATCATAAGTCGTGAAAATTATAACAGTGTGTTAACAAAAATTTACTCTGTAGACACATTCTCGAAGACCATCCAGCAGCATTAAATTGCTATTTTACGCTGGTATTCCTTGAGAGCGTGGTCCTTCCCCGGTCGATCCAATCGCGATACAACCATAATATAGCTGCAACATGGCTCACCACGTCTAATATAGTAACCTAATAATATAACACTTAAACAATATAGATAATTATTTATACAAATGAAAACAAAATAGACCATTCAAAGGGAATAACACTTTGAAAACTAAAGCTTACAATTCAATTGAAGTTAAATTCGTGAAAATTGTAACAACGTGTTAACAAAAACTTACTCTTCGGCACATTCTTGAAGAGGTTGAGAGTGATGATTACCTTTGCACAGAGCTTAGAATATAGTGGATGTATATGACAATAGCTTTGCCGTTTAGTCACTAAATATTAAGTACATCAAACATATAATATTATGTCTGTAGGCACGAGTCAATGTACTAAAAAGCGTTTCAATTAAGCGTCATCGTTGATCACCGTCACCGACGATCAGACGGCGTCATTTAGATACAATTATGTCTTCAAGGCGCTTTAAAACGACATCGGGCTTGCCAATAAAAACGTTTCAAATATATTCGTGTGCCGTTTTCCACCATCTGGTTAAGATGTGCTTAGAATTGTTAATTATTATTCGTTTCTTAAGCAGTTATTTGTACGTGGTAGAGCTAAGCTGCAGCTATTGCTATATAGTGGTACAAAATACCAGCGTAAATTAGCAGCTTAATGCTGTTGCGTTTCGTATGGTGAGCGTCGAGAACCGGAGACTCTTTTTACTGGAAACGAGACATTCCATCTTAGTCCTTAGGGGTCATCTGCATTTTGATTCTTAATTGAGGGTAAATGTAGATGTCTAGCGCCACAGCATATGCTCATCATCAGATGAACTATGTGCTCGTTTGTCATCCTTGGTCTATAAAAAAGTATGTTTTTTAATAATCCAAAGTTCCACTTGTTATTTGAGGATTGCAATGGTCGCTTTATGTCTGCTGCGTTTGTGCCATGGTGACGGCATAAGGAAGTCCATTATCTCTTTTTGTCTCTGATAAATTTCTACTACTACTAGGTACTTTTACACCGTTACTCTCTTGTTATTTGTTCCGACAAATAGTAGTGCTTGCACCGCTGTGTTCCGGTCTGATGGGTAGAGAGCCAGTATAATATCAGACTCGGACGTGACACATTTGTAACCTTCTTTGTTTAAAAGTTAAAGTTAGAGCCCTATATGCGTCCCACTGCTGACCACAGGCCTCTTCGCATTTCTGAGAGGGTTTTAGGGCAAGAAAATGTCCGCCTGTCCACCGCGCTGCAGCGTGCTGCGAACTTTACGTGATAATTTTTAAGATGCCGCCGAAAACCAGTGGTAAGGCTGCTAAGAAGTCTGGCAAGTCTCAGAAAACCATCTCCAAGTTCGAAAAGAAGAAGAAGAAGCACAAGAAGAAGGAGAATTACGCGATCATGAATGTACAAGGTGCTCAAGCAGGTGCATCCCGATACTGGTATATCCAGTAAAGCGATGTCCATAATGAACTCGTTCGTTAACGACGTCTTCGAACGTCTAGCCGCAATGACCTCGCGCCTGTCTCAATTCAACAAGCGTTCGACTATAACTTAACGGGAAGTTCAGACATGCAGGTTTCCTCAGGATGTTTTCCTTCACCGCCGAGCACGTGGTAAATCAGCACTTAAAATTTCAATTAACAATTTCGTTGGTGCCGGCGGGGACGGGTTACTCGCGAACTGTGAAATTTACAGCGAGCGTTTAGCTCCTGAGCTACCACGGTTCCTTTATCTTTGTTTAACGACTGGAAATGGAAGTCTTCCTTCTTTGTTTAAAGACTGTAAAATTGAAGATATAAGGATTTTGTTACAAATGGTAATATACAAAATGTAACAAAAACCCTGTGGTTTCCGTCAACTGCGTTATCAAAATCAGTATTCAAGCTTATAGAAATATTTTTTTTAGTAAACTTGAACATAATTTTTTGTAAATTAAATTAAAAAATTTTTTGCATATTGTATGTGGTTTTATTTCCTCTAACTCACACGAGTATCGCTAATGTGGGGTCTTTAACAATCCTCTTACTCCTCGGCCAATGCAGAGATAATAAAACCACATACAATTAGCAAATTCATTTTTTTATTAAAATTAATTTTCAAATGTGTTTTTTTTTTGAAAAAAAAAATATTTCTATACGCTTGAATACTGATTCTGATAACGCACTTAACGGGAACCACAGATTTTTTTTTTACATTTTGTATATCACATATAATAATAAAATGTTTACTGAGTAAGAGGATTTCTATAAGTTCTGCGTCATTTTTTGTGCAATTTATCAAGTACGTGCCGTAGCAAAATAAAACCTGTTTCTGGACGTAATTAGTAGATAAATTTAAATACATTAAGCGCTTGCTTATGTGGTTACTTG